CATCTATTGCTCCATGCCGAGCAGCAGAAAAAAAGTTCGTTCCATCTTCAGTATGACATCCTTTCAGATATTTAAACAGGGCTATCTTGTCACCTCTTAACCTTCTCTTCACTTCCTTTTCTCTCTTCCCACTTTTGGGAAGAGCCAAAGACGTTATCACACGGGGGCCCAATCCAAACAAAATCCACACGAAATCCCGTACGATACCGGATTATTGGCCCGTGTTTTCACACGACGTTGCACAGAACCCAGACAGAAAGTGGAATGATCTGAGATCTTTTGAATTTCGGCTTCTTCAGGAAATGCAATTGCGCGATGAGGGTGATTCCGCATTTACCGCAAATGTGATCTCCAAATACGTATTGGGCAGCATTTCCCCGTCATTACCCATGGTTCCCGCGAGCATTCCTCTATCTGCATATGTGCAAGAGGCTCATTTCTACTACATTTATGGGATATTTTCGCTTGTGTGTGGACGTTCTTTGCACTTGCTGTACATTCGCAATTAAGGTAATGACGTTTGCAGAAACAAGTTTATTTTCGGTTTATTTTCGTAATGCCTCATTTCCACTTTTATTTTCGCTTTCTGGCCCACGGGTGATAACATCCTAAGTCTTGCAGAGTATAAGTTACAGAGCAAATCATTTCAACCAAATCAAGAAAAGAATCAAAATAACCTAATGCAACTGGCTGATATATTCTCCTAATCTTACTCACAGATCAGATAGGATTTGTAGTCCTTGGGGTTCATGAGTTAGCTGGGAGCTGGGACTCCCTTGTCCAGCTTTGACCAGTCTTCCCAAATCCAGAGCTCTTAGTTGGAAGCCCCTCATGGCCTGGTTAGAGAGACCCAGAGACAAAGAACTTCATGATGGTTCAGGCTTTTTAAAACCTCTGCTCAGAAGCATCTCATCGCACTTCTGCCTAACTGCCCATCTCATTGAGCAATTGCTATTTCATTACTTGTGATCATGAACATTATTAAAATGTAATTGTATCTCCTCTCACATTTAAAGCATTGTTATCCGGGAGAAGGCTCTGATAAAAGGAGAGATTCCCATTTATCACAGTCATCATCTCAGATTTCGGGGGTTTTTAAGCAAGGCCCTAGGCCTTATTGATATCTCATTGTTTGTTTTTTATACTTGTATAAGCTTGGAGATTCTGTGAACTGTGGTCCAAAAAGTAACTGTTTCAAGCTGTGGTTAAGTGGAGATGGAAAGCAGTGGTCTGGTCCACAATGCATAGCAAAGCGTCTTCTTTTCCAGGGTTAATAGAAGGCCCCTATTATTTGTAGGACCTGCAGTTACGTAAATATTAAGCCATATAAACAGGTAATTCAGGAGCAAAAGCAGCACCTGAGCCCATGTCCTCAGCTAAGCAGGCATGTGCCTTCCTGATCGCAAGACATCCTGTACTTAGTTTACTAATCAGACTGCTTTGAGACACAAAGGGAGAGTTTGTCTTGGTCTTCAGAGATCTGGGTCAGCTCTTAGAAGAGAAAAACAGAAGTTCAGCTTAGCCGTACACTGCAAATATTTTGCTATGTTAAGTCACCCGACCTTTTGCTCGGCCACCGGAAGGTGAATGGCATTGGCCTAACAACATGACAATCTATAGACAGGGTGACTGGGGATGCATCTACACTGTAGAAATAATGCAGTTGGACACCACTTTAAGTATCATAGCGCTATGCTACAGAATCTTGGGACTGGTAGTTTTGTGAGGCACCAGCACTCTTTGGCAGAGAAGGCTAAAGGCCTTGTAAAACAGCAAATTCTGGGATTCCATAGGCTGGAGCTAGAGCACTTAAGGTGGTGTCAAACTGCATTATTTCTATAGTGTAGATGCACACAATGACTCTAGACAGAATGACAATCCATAGCAAATAAGAACTACACAGGTGGTTGGCAGGAAAAGAAGTTGCTGGGTATACAATTTAGAGTTGCCATCTCTTCATTCCATCTCTGCTCCTATGCTTTTTATACTCACCTGAAACAAAAAGAGGAAGAAAAAAGTAGGTTAGGGTTTCCCCTCACCATGTACCTCAATTGTTGTTGTGTGCCTTCAAGTTATTTCCAACTTAAGACAACTCTAAGGCAAACCTATCATGCAGTTTTCTTGGCAAGAATGGTTCAGAGGAGTCGTAGGCTTTCATGGCTGGCCGGCAACCATAGTTTTTTGTGGGTTTTTCGGGCTGTGTGGCCAT